GAATGCGTAAATTTATTTTACTGATTTACTCAGAAACTACAAAACCGAATGCTTTGAAATCTTGCAGATGTTTTAAGGTTATAAAGAGCATAATAAATGTTTAGTCAAAATATATTTGCTTATCCCCTCCAAAAAATTGATGACGTCAGCTCGAAAGTTTGCCGAATAAATCCTATCCAAACTGTAAAAATATGATGAGTCTGTACTTGTAATTTATCACTCCATTCATATTTTTTGGATTTGCATATACAGGGTGACTCAAAAAAATTAATGAATGCGTAAATATATTTTATTGATTTAATCAGGAACTACAAAACCGAATGCTCTGAAATCTTGCAGACGTTTTAAGGTCATAAAGAGCATAATAAATGTTTAGTCAAAATATATTTGCTTATCCCCTCCAAAAACTTGATGACGTCAGCTCGAAAGTTTGCCGAATAAATCATACCTAAAATGTACAAAATATGATGAGTCTGTACTTGTCATTTATCACTCCATTCATATTTTTTGGATTTGCATATACAGAGTGACTCAAAAAAATTAAGGAATGCGTAAATATATTTTATTGATTTAATCACGAACTACAAAACGGAATGCTCTGACATCTTGCAGATGTTTTAAGGTTATAAAGAGCATAATAAATGTTTAGTCAAAATATATTTGCTTATCCCCTCCAAAAACTTGATGACGTCAGCTCGAAAATTTGCCGAATAAATCATATCTAAAATGTACAAAATATGATCAGTCTGTACTTGTGATCTATCACTCCATTCATATTTTTTGGATTTGCATATACAAGGTGATTCAAGAAAATAAATGAAAGCGTAAATTTATTTTATTGATTTACTCAGGAACCACAAAACCGAATGCTTCGAAATCTTGAAGATATTTTAAAATTATCATAAGCATGGTAAATTTTTGATCAAAACGTATTTGGTCGTCCCCCCTAAAAAATTTATGACGTCACCACAAAATTTTGCTGAATAAATCCTATCTAAAATGTACAAAATATGGTGAGTCTCTTCTTGTGATTTATCATTCCATTCAAATTTTTTCGATTTGCATATCCAGGGTGACTCAAAAAAATTAATGAATGCGTAAATTTATTTTATTGATTTAATCAGGAACTACAAAACCGAATGCTTTGAAATCTTGCAGATGTTTTAAGGTTATAAAGAGCATAATAAATTTTTAGTCAAAATATATTTGGTTATCTTCTACAAAAAACTGATGACGTCAGCTCAAAAGTTTGCCGAATAAATCGTATCTAAAATGTACAAAATATGATGAGTCTCTACTTGTGATTTATCATTCCATTCATATTTTTGGATTTGCATATGCAGGGTGACTCAAAAAAATTAATGAATGCGTGAATTTATTTTATCGATTTAATCAGGAATTACAAAACCGAATGCTTTGAAATCTTGGGAATATTTTAAAGTTATTATAAGCATGGTAAACTTTTGTTCAAAATGTATTTGTTCATCCCTCCTAAAAAAATTGATGACGTCACCCTTAAATTTTGCTGAATAAATCCTATCTAAAATGCAAAAAATATGATGAGTTTGTACTTGTGATTTATCATTCCATTCATATTTTTTAGATTTTCTTAAGAGGTGGTTCAAAAAAATTAATGAAGTCAATTTATTTTATTGACTAAATTAAAGGCAACACTTATTATTAGTATTACACCCCAACCAACCCAATTTGGTAGACACAAAATTTGTTAAAGGAAAAACTCGGTTGAAACATAAGGGTAGCACGTTTATTTACATCGACTTTAACATTACAGACCTGCATTTGTTTTATTCGTTCACTTGGTTCCGCGAATATGAAATAGACATGTTTATAATCAACCAATTGTGAATTTCACCGTCAAGAATTAAAATAAAACCCAATGTTTTATATAATAAGCGGAAGTCGAAGCAATAAAACCGATGGTCGTTTTGTTTACAGTTTCTCTGTTTGACTCTCACGTATGCTGTTACGCCTGTCATCTTAAATTAAGAATGTTTATACATACACGATTTTCAGTTGCCTCTGATACGTATACGTGAGTAAATTGTTTCGTTATTTTATTGATTATTACAAATCAATATTCAAAACGACCCAATCTATCTATCCCAACTGATATACGTGTCCTTGCAAAAATGTTGATGACGTCATCGCAATTTTTTTTAAATTCCCACTACAAAAATGTAATGAGAAAAAAACACAATAGGCATGCAGTCGTCAAGTTTCCGACAGCGAGGGAAGTACTGTCTAAACTCTTTAGACCAATTTTTTTATTTTTAATATTTCAAAAATTCGATTTCCAACTGGCCGAGTTTTTGATTTCGATTTTTCAATTTTGAAATTTTTCTATTTTAATTGTCAAACAGAAAAATTACAATCTGATTTTTTTTAATTTTTCAGTGTTAAAATTATACGAATTTTCACTTTGTAATTTTGTAAATTTTTCATTTTCCTCGTTCATATTTTTACAGTTTTTCCAACTGCCCAGTTTTTAATGAAGCAGTTTTTCAATTTTTGAATTTTCAATAATCAAATTTTGCAATTTCTCAATTTTTAAATTTTTTGGGGTTTTAGTTCTCCGCTTTTGGAATAGTCCGATTTTTGAATTTTTTGTTTTTTCGTTTTTCATAATAATTATGCAGTTTTCTATTTTTACTGTTTAATAAATTTTGGATTTACAGTTATTGGATTTTGCATTCTTCTAATTTTGCATTTTTTCAATTTTTTTATTTTTAATTTGTTCACAATTTGAACTTGAATTTTTCAAGTTTTTAGTTTTTTACTTTCATTATTTTAACAATTTTTCGTTTTTAAAGGTTTCCATTTTTATAATTTTTGAATTTCAATAATTCGTATTCCATTGTTTCGATTTTCTCATTTTTTGATTTTTAATATTAAAAAATTTTGATTTGCAATTGTCCTAGTTCTTGATTTTTCAGTTTTATATTTTTACAATTTTTTTCGGTTGTCTAGTTTTTAATGAATCAGTTTTTCAATTTTTTAATTAGCAGATTTTTTGGTTATGGAAACCTTTGATTTTGCAATTTTTCGGTTTTTCATTTCTCAATTGTTCGATTTTTTAATTTAATAATTTTTCAATTTTACAATTATCCAATTTTTCGATTGTGTAATTTTTCAATTTTATAATTTTACAAATTTTCAATTTTTACATTTTTAATTGTTGAATATTTTAATTTTAATTTTTCAAGTTCTTTAGTTTTTCAGTTTAAATATTTTAAAATTTTTGGTTTATAAAGATATCCGATTTTTGATTTTTTAGTTATCCGATTTTCTAATTCTTTTATTTTTAGTATTTCAAAATTTCGATTTCCAATGGTCTGAGTTTTTGATTTCTCGATTTCATAATTTTAGAATATTTTGATTTTTCAATTATTAGATTTTCCAAATTCTCGATATTTAAATTTTCGATTTTTCGTTTTGCGAGTTAATAATAATTATATAATTTTTCATTTTTACTGTTTAATAAATTTTCTAATTTACAATTATTTCGTTTTCCATTTTTGTAATTTTGCAATTTTTCAAGTTCTTGATTTTTCACTTCAATAGTTTCTTCAAAATTTCAGTTTTAATTTTTCGAGTTTTTGATATTTCACTTTCATTATTTTAACAATTTTTCGTTTTTAAAGGTTTCCGATTTTTTAATGTTTGATTTTTCAATAATACGAATTTCATTGTTTCGATTTTTTAATTTTTAATATTTCAAAATTTGGATTTACAATTGTACGAGTTTTTGATTTTTCAATTTAATGCTTTTACAATTTGTCTAGTTCTTAGTTGTCCAGTTTTTAATTAATCAGTTTTTCAGTTAGCAGATTTTTCAATTGGAAAGCTTCGATTTTGCAATTTTTTGGTTTATCATTTTTCATAATTTTGTATTTTGGAAGTTTTCAATTTTTTGTTTTTTAATTGTTCAAAATTTCAGTTTTAATTTTTCAAGTGCTTAATTTTTCGGTGTAATTATTTTACAGTTTTTCCGTTTTACATTATTGGATTTTTCAGTTTTACATTTTTATAATTTTTGGATGTCTCAATTATTCGGTTCTCTATTTCTCAATTTTCAATTTTATAATTTTTTTTTTTAAATTTCTCATTTTTCAATTACTATTCAATTTTTGACTTTTGAATTATTCGATTATTCGAATTCATTTTGATTTTCCAAAGTTTTGATTTTTATAATTTAAAAATTTCGATTTCCAATTTTTCAAGTTTTTTATTTTTCAGTTTCATAATTTCGCAATTTCTCGATTTTAATTTCTTTTTTACGATTTTGCAATTTTTTGATTTTTTATTTGAACATTTTTAGAATTTTTCCATTTTTCAGATTTAGACTTTAATAATTTTTCGATTTTACTTTTAAGCAATTTTTCGATTTTACTTTTAAGGAATTTTTCAATTTTTTATTTTTCATTTTTCAATTTTATACTTTTTCGTTTTTTCAATTGTTAAGTTTTCGATTTTTTATTTTTCAAGATTTCGATTTTAAATTTTTCAAAATTTCTTTTTTATTTTTTTTAATTTTATAGTTTTGCAAATTTTCTATTTTACAATTAATTATATGATTTTTCAATTTTTGGTTATAGAATTATTCAATTTTCAATTTTATATTTCATTTTTTGATTTTTCATTTTTATGTTGTTACATTTTTTGGATTTCTCAATTATTCTGCTTTTAATAAAATAATTTTTCAAGTATTATATTTTCCAAATTTCTCGGTTCTAGGCAATCACAAAAAAATTATAGGGTGTTAAAGCTCATTTATAGTTTCTTAAACTGTTATTGTGTATTATTTTTGTTTCAATTTATAGATGTAGTCATAATAAAACTTCTCAAAATCAAATTTTATAATTTTTCAAAGAAGCCGAATTAGTTCGACTGTACTTCGAAGGCCAAGGAAGTTCTGTCGAAACAACCAATTTTTTCACGACACAAGGAAACGGAGGACGGAACTTTTAAGATATTTTTAGGTCCACAGGTTATGGTGACGAACTAACCTGGGCAGCCGTTTGGTTATACAAAGCCACAAGAAACGTCAGATACGTGGAACAAGCAGAAAACTTCTACACGAAGTTCCGAATCAAAGACCGCCCCAACGAATTTTTCTACAACAAGAAAGTGGCCGGAATTCAAGTACTTAATCGACTTAAGTACCTTAAATCGACTTAACCACTACACTTTTAGCTCCTCCTTGCCGAGCAAACCCAACGCCCCGAGTACAAAGCGGCCACCAAGAGCTTCTGCGACTACTCCATCAAGGAGCAACTGCGGACTCCTCACGGCCTAATTTTCATAGACAAGTCCGGAACTCTCTCGCACGCTGCCAATGTCGCCTTCATTTGTTTACAGGTACCACCCACACTCCAGTACCACCCTCACTCCATGCTAACTATTTGCAGGCTGCCATTGGTCTCAACATTTCTCAAAGTACCTACATCAACTTCGCCAAAGAACAAATCGACTACATTCTGGGCTCAAAGGGGCGAAGTTACCTCGTGGGGTACGGGTTGAACTATCCCAAGCAGCCCCACCACTCCGCAAGGTAGTGGTACTTTAGTAGTTTCTGGATCTAGCGGTGTTGTTGTAGTTCCTGTCCTGATTTGCCAGAACCATGTGGGTGGAAGCAGTTCACGTGGAAAGGTCCGAATCCCCAGATTCTCTACGGGGCTTTGGTTAGTGGACCAGACCAGAACGACCATTACGAAGATATCAGAGACGAGTTTCTTTATAACGAGGTGACGTTGGATTATAACGCAGGGTTTCAGAGTACCGTTGCTGGACTTATTTATTGTGACAAGGTGATGAAACGTGAGTGATGTTCTTAAATGTGATATTGAGACGTTTGTTTGTAGTAAAGTTCGAAATTTTCACTAGAGTTTTATTTCGTCAAGTATTAACATATTGTTAAAGTTAACCCCTTTTGTCTTCGGTTTCGACTAACCTGGAACACTTATTTAGATTAACAAAATGACACTCATTTGTTGCTAGCATACTCTGACACCGTGAGACTTCTAAGATCTTCAAGCGGTATACAAATTCCATAACCTCGCTCCAAAATTTGGGCAAACTGAACCCCAACTATCGAATCCATTCCAAGGTCTGCCAAAGTCGATTCCTTGTTAAGAATTCTCGCATCCTTAACCCCTAGTAAATGAGCAAGTTGGTCAAGCACGCTGTGTGAATTTCCGTTGACGATGTTTTTTTCCGCAATCACTACACTAGAGACAACAGCGTCTGCTCGCTCCAAAAAACGTTCCAAAACCTTGAAACATGACCCTAATTTCTGGGCTACGAAACCTTGAAGAGGAATTTTTTTTTGACCCACTGCTTTGGCATAAGCCCCAACCTAAAGCAAGTAGTATTAATTTCCAATTAAACCCTTTTCGGAGTTTACATCGTCTATGGGACCCCACTGTATCGCCAAACCTGGTAGACCATCATTTCGTCTTTTTTCACAAAGTCGTTCCATGACGGAGTTGGCCATTCCATAGTTGCTTTGGCCAGGGTTGCCACGTCCACACGACATAGACGAAAACATAACGAAGTACCTTTAACACCAAGTGACAAATCTGTATCTAGAATTAAGTACCTGAGGTTTTTGCAACATTGTCGTGTCACTTGGTCCAACGCAACAGCAATATTAGCCTTAGACGATAACGACTCCTTAAATTTTTCTTCAGTCTGATCTTCAAAGAAGGCGTCTTTCAGTACCACACACAGATTAAAAACGCCATCCACTGGTCCTAACTCACTTATTGCTTTTTGGATTAGTTCCAGACAACCCTTCTTGGTGGTGGTGTCTACAGTAGACACTGTTACAGCGACACCAGAAGACCTCCACAGCCTGAAAAGTTCTTGTTATTATGGTACCCGCAATGTGTAAATCGTACCCAATTTTGCGTTTTTGGTAGCCACTTTGTAGTCCCACTCGAGACACCAGTACCACCTTTCTGGCACCATTAGCCACCAACCACTGGGTCAGTTCTAACCCAAACCCCCCCAAACCTCCAACGATGACATAAGATTTGTCTTCGTCGCACGCAAAGTCACGTGACCCATCTTGACTTAAAGGTAAGTGCCTATAAGTACCCCACTGGCCATTTTTGAAAACGTTAACGGCAAAGTTCTTTCTTAGTTGGTCTTGATAGAAAACACTGCCTGAATCAAACTCCGGTACTTCGTCCATCGTGACAAAACACCTGAGTTTGGTACCACCACGCTCCAGTCTGACACAAGTCGTCAACCCTAAAACACCCTCAGGTTCTACGTTGCTGGAAACAACCACCACATTTTCGGTTTTCAGAGCACGTTGTAGGGTAGGCAACCAGTTTAACTGTTTCCAGGAAAGTCGTACGTGTTTGACATTATCAACCGATTTTGACTTTTGTAACAATAGTAGTTTTTCGTGGGGAGTGCAATGTTCGGTGAGAAGTTCTAAATTGGCGACTTCCTTATACCGAAAAGAGGGTTTTTCGCGAGTCAAGATAAAACCGTCTTGACTAACAAGTGCCAAAATTTGGTCCAAAAGCTCTGGTTTTTGCAACACCTTGGTACCAACAACCAAAAGCAAATTTTTTGACTTGTCGATAATTTCTGGATATTTGGTTGCGCAAATCGTAAACTCGGAAGTGACTGTAGGCATTCGTTGTATTATTCGGTGTACCAGAGGAAGAAGAGAGTCACTGTTGTCGTCGACAATTTCTACCGCCTTGATACAACTTGTCAAACTTTTCTCAACTATAAGCTGTGTGTTGACTATTAAAGACTCCTCCAGATCAAGCGTAACCACGTTTGGAACAAAAACATATTTTTCTAGAACCGGTGATTGTTGACATTGTCTTTGACGAAGTTTCGTACTAACGTCAAAAATTTCAATCCCTCCAGACCTACAACCAAGTAGCTAAAAACACCTAGTGGAATTTACTCACCCACCTTATGGTTCTACTCTTCTTGTGAAAGCAAAAATGGCACGATTTCGTCTCATTGACGATCTTCAAGTGACTATTAACATCTATTGTCAACCGCCTGATACCAACAGGTAGACGAAGCAAGTGGGTACTATCTTGCAGCTGCACCGTCTGTATAATGCTATCTATGAAAGTAGTCCAATTGTTTTCCCAGCGGAGTGACCCCTCACTTACTTCAAGGTCACACTTTTCAACCCCTTGAAACAAACCACTGAGACAACTCTAGTACTTGTCTGTTTTGACCCACCTGTAATTGTACCCTTTTAGATTTAAAGTCTTGTAGACTTCGTTTTGTGTCAAAGTTTCACTCGATTTCTGCCCAAACCAAGGAACGCTCATTTGGTATTTCTTGATGTCGTCGGGTACGAACACTCTTCCGCAAGCTACAACTTTGTTGTCTTTGCAGACCTCAAACTTTCCACTTTTGGGTAAAATGGATACGAAAATGTCAATATTGTCGAGAGGTACGACTTCTACGAATTCGCAATTTTCGAAGACGATTGCTGGTACTAAACGTGATTTGAATGTCTGCCAGACCAAGTTTAAGATTTCGCTTGGTGGAATAGTACCAAGTCCGTCGATTTGGTGACCAGTTAGGTATTCATGGTCCGTTATCTTGTAACTTTTTTGCAATGGAGTGTCTGTGTCTTCTGAGAATTTGTAAGAGTACCAGTTTTTGTCACAATTCCATTTAATCAAATGGGAAAGCATGGGTGTGTTTCGATTTACCGGGAATTGTGCATTTGGGTAGAGTTTGTGGATTTGTAAATCGTGACCTTCTTGGTATAGTCTGAATAAATGAATATTTTACTTTCTCTGGGTCAACGACAATGTAAAACGTACCTTCCTAGTATATGAAAGAAATTAGTTGTTAGAACCATGTCGTCGTTGTTGATTCGTAGAGGTTTGTCTGAAAGATTAAGCACAATGGAATGCTTCGAAATGTCCACAGAGTGATTATTATTTTTATTGGGTTTGCCTAAAAGAAAACTCTGGTCAAATTTTTTTCCTTAATTACAAGTCGTACTTTTGATTGCCATTTCGACTGCCTCCTCCAAGCTAATTTTGCCTTTACAATAAAGAACTAACACCTGATGGAATGAATCTTCTGCCACTGGTGTTAGCTCAACCTTCAACACTCTCAGCACCTTTGCTTTACCCAGTTGTACCGCAAACCCCCCAAGCAAGGTATCGTTTTCGTCGAAGTTGGCTTTTAGCTGAACAAACCTCTTCAAAACCCTACAAACAAAAATTTGGTTGAAATTGTCACGGTCTGGATTTCAGTACCTGACAACAGTGTCTCGAAAAAGGGACACTTTTATTGACTGTTGTTTCAAAGACAAGAAACCACTTTCAAGAGGTCCAAAAAACACAAATAGTTTCTTTGGGTGTTGACGGTACAACTCCACAGATATCTCGGCTTGTTGACCGTCTTCCAAAATCGTGAATCCTCTATACATGTGCCCATTGACATTGTCTTTGAAGATGTGGTGCAGCAAATTTACAAAGTCTGCATTTGGTTGTCGATTTATTTGGTGAAGTGTTTCAACAACTGCTTGTTTATTTCTTCCACTAACCAAAACTAGTTTGGGAAAGTCATTTGGTGTCGACTCGTTGTCAACTTTCTTGCTTGCAGGTTCTACGATCAAGTGGGCAATATTTGCTCCCCAGCCAAAGCAGTTGATTCCAATGTACGTATTATTTGGTAGTTCTTCTGCTTGGGTGACCACCCTCATCCTATTTTCCTCGAATCCTTTGATCCCTTTTCTTAATTGGTCAATATTTATGGTTGGTGGAATTAGCCCAGATTCCATTGCGATGATAGCTTTAACTAGAGCACAAAGTCCTGCTGCCGCCTCAGTGTGACCTATACTGTTTTTAGTAGCCCCAATAGGAAGAGGTTTTTGTCGTTTTTGGGCAATAGCCACATCTATGGACTCAGCTTCCTGTGGATCACCTAAAATGGTACCGGTTCCGTGGGTTTCGAGGTAACCAATCTGGGATGGGTGGATTCCCGATTCTGATAAAGTAGCTTCAATTAACTCGGTTTGTGTTTTGGATGATGGTGCAAGTAAGCCTCCGACTTTGTAGCCCTCACTCCCTGTTCGAATATGGGTGATCTAGAACAATCAAGGAAATTGAATATTTATTGTTGAAATGTCCCCATGGTGAGTTAGTTACCTTTGCATAAATTCTTTTGGCGTGTTTTGCTTTTTGAAGGAACACACAAGCGATGGCATCAGATCGGGCGTAACCGCTGGCGTTTTCGTCGAAAACTTTACATTCACCATCGGGACTTAGAACTCCTAGTCTAAAAACAAGAGTGGATTCAAAATTTTTGGTTTTGTTGTTGAAATTAATTCTGTTAAACTCAAGATTTCGTGGTATTTTGAATAATTGTTCTGATTCACGCAACAAAAAAATTTGGTATTCAAAGTTGTCAGTCCCAAGAGAAAGTAATTAAATTTCGAAAAATTAGAAAGGATGTGATATGTATGACATAATTGAAATACGAAAGAAAAATAGCATAAACTAATGGAACATGGGACGATGAAGAACAAGTACGAATTTTTACGGTAGATCCAGATTTAAAAAAAAAAACATAGTTGTATGATAACATTTTATAATTTCACTTTAAAATTGCCAAATCCAGTACTTTGAAATCTTGCAAACGTTTAAGCTTTGCCGAAAGCATGACTTCAGATTTTTCAATTTTTGGCGTTTCTAAATTTTCAATTTTTGGATTTTTCATTCTCGATTAATTGATTTCTAATTTTCCCATTTCTCGATTTTTAGAATTTTCAATGTTTCGATGTTACACATTTTCAATTCTGAAGTTCCTCGATTTTCAGGTTTCTGATTTTTCAGGTTTTACGGTTTTCGACTTCGATATTTCGACTTTTCGATTTCCTGACGTTTCAGATTTGGGTTTTTGATTCTTCACTATTTCTTCAATTTTCCAGTTTTTCAATAGTTCAGTTTTAGAATTTTGCAATATTTTGATTAATCCAAGAAAAACTCAATGTTATCCTTTTTTGACTTTTGATATTTCCGTTTTTGAGTATTTCGACATTGAATTTTTTGATGTTTTAGTTTATCAGTTTTTATTTTTTCGATTTTTTCATTTCAGATTTTTCAATTGTTTGATTTTTTTGTATCGGTTTCTCTATTTTTCAATTTTTTAGTTTTTAATATTTTAGATTTTTCAATTTTCCGATTTGTCGTATTCTCGATTTTTCGGTTCTTCGATTTTTCAATTTTTTCAAAATTTTAATTCTTGATTGTTCAGTCTTTTGATAATTCAATTTTTCGACTTCTGGGTAATAAATTTTTCGGTTTATCGATTTTTCAGTTCTTGGATTTTTCAATTTTTCGTATCTTTCGGTTTTTTGATTTACAAATTTTTTTCTTTCTCGATTTATTGAAATTTCGAAACATTGAATTTTTGATTGTTCAATTTCTCAATTTTTATTAATATTCAACTTTTCAATTTTTCATTTTTTAACTTTTCGATTTTAGCCTATTTCGATTTCTCAATTTTTCGATTTTGGACCTTCCAACTTTTCTATTTTTCGATTTCTCTCGATATTTCAGTTATTGCATAATTATATCGATGTACCGATTTTTCGACTTTTCGACTTTTCGTTTTTTCAATTTTTGCCTGTTTCAATCTTTCAGTTTTTCGATTTTTCAATTTTTCAAATTTTGAATTTTCGATTCTTCAATTTTTCAAATTTTGAATTTTCGATTTTTCAATGTTTCGATTTCTCGATCGTCCGATTTTTCGATTTCTCGATTTTAGATGTTTCGTTTTTTCAATTTTTCAGTTTTAAAAATTACCGATTTTTCAATTTTTTCGGTTTGTGATTGTTTAATTATCCGATATACCGATTTTTTTTATTATTTTAAATGTTCGAATTTTTCAATTTTTAACTTCCATTTTTTAATTTCTCAATTTTTCGATTTTTCAATTTCTCGTCTTTCTCGATTTCTCGATCTTTTGATGTTTCGATTTCTGGATGTTTCAGTTTTTGTATATTTACATGTTTCATGTTTCATCAACGAAAACGTTTTCTTAGTTTTTAGATTTTTCAATTTTTCGGCTTTTCGTTTTTCTTATTTTTCGCTGTTTCAATTTTCAGTTTTCCGATTCTTCATTTTGTTTTTCAGTATCTCGATTTTTCGATGTTTCAGTTGTGAGATATTTCAATTTTTCTTCGACTTTATAATTTTGCAACATTTTGGTTTTAAGATTTTGCAACATTTCAATTTTTCCGTTCTTCAATTTTTCTTCCATTTTTCAATTTTGCAATATTTCGACTTTTCAATTTCTCACTTTTTTCTAAATCAATTATCCAATTTTTCGGTATTTTCATTTTTCAATTGTTAAAATTTTAGAATTTTTGTTTTTCAGTTCTTCGATTTTTCAATTTTTCGAATTTTTAAATTTTAGATTTTCCATTTTTTGATATTTCGATTTCTCGATCTTTCGATTTTTCGACTCCTCGGCTTTACATTTTTCAATTTTTTTTGACTTATTGAGATTTTAATGTTTTGGTTTTGATTGTCCAATTTTTAAATTTATCAATTTTTAAATTTATCAATTTTTTAATTTAAAATTTTCCTATTTTTCAATTTTTAATTTTCCGTCGTTTCCATTTCTCGACATCTCGATCTCTTGATTTCTTGCATTGAAGTTTTTAAATATTTCGATGTTTCGATTTTTCGACTTTTTCGATTACTCAGTTTTTCGTCATTTCAGCTTTCTAGATTTTTCAATTTTTCGATTGTTCAATTTTCTTATTTTTCAATTTTTCCGATTTTTTAAGTTTCAGATTTTCGATTTCTAGATTTCTTGATTTGTCAATTTTTCGTTATTTTAATTCTTCAATTTTTTAAATTTTAGTTTTTTAGAAATTTCGATGTTTCAATTTTCCGTTATTTGTTTTTCAGTGATTTGAATTCGAAAATTTTTGATTTTTCGTTTTTTTTGAGTTTTCGATATGCCAATTTTTTAAAATTTCATTTTCGTTGACTTTTTAATGTCCAGATCTTTTCAATTTTTGGATATTTTAATTTTTCGATTTTTTGTTATTTGGATTAATTGATCTTTCGATTTTTTGACTTTTCGGATTTCGATTTTTCGGTTTTAAATTTTTTTCGATTTCTGAATGTCTCGATTTTCGAAAAGCATTTTTTCCCGTGAATTCTTTGCTGAAAATTTATTCCACTCTGGAATTCAATTATTTTCAAAATTTTTAATTCAATATTTTTGAGGTTAGGTTACTACGACCGTGCTACAATGACTTACTCTGCTATCTGCCGACAAACTTCAGGATGCTGCAGTAGATTACAAACAACAACAATAGCATTATCACACTTCCCCATCTTTAAACTCGAGTTGGCCATATCTAAACCAAGAAAAGATCCACAACAATCCATTATTAAGCCACACGATGGACCCTTAACTTTCAGAAAGTAGCTAATCCGATGCGCGATCTCTGACCTCATCCATCCACTCTGTGTCTCAAGAGTACCACTCGTGGCAAAAATTTCGCTATCAGTACATGACGTTACCGCAAACACCGCAGTCCTTGAGCCTTGTAACTGACATGGGTTAACACCAGCGTCAAATATGGCCTCCATTACAACCTCGAGGGACTTTCGTGTCATGGGACTCATGGTTTGGGCTTGACGGTGGTGGACGCCGAAAAAACCACAGTCGAACTTCTCTGTGTCTTTGATCACCCCGTATTTTTGGGGGATTCCAGAGAGGTTCGGGTCCCAACGACCAGTGTCCTCCCGGAGGGACTTTTCCTTGTTGAAGAGGGTCGTTCTGAGTTCGAGTACATTGTTGGAATTGGGGAAACGTCCAGAAATTCCTTGAAAAAATAAAAATGGACAAGGTTAATACAGTTTAAGTGGATTAAAACTAACCTGTAATCGCAACCCCACTTCCTGCGGGATTTGCTAACAATTCTTTGTTGTAATGGTAATTGCCCGACATGACGATTTGTTAAACACTGGCATTCAATTGATCAAAACATTCCTTAAATATTCACTTTTGCAATGGAATTAAGCGAGTCTGTGGTGATTTAATTTGAATGTCCCTTTGTTAAAATTTTGTTAATGCAGGTTGTTATTGTTTTGTTTCGTCAGCTCATTACCTTGTGATCACAGTGTCAAACTTTTGTGCACTAATAGTAATAGGACTGCATAATTGGGTCTAATATCTCATAAAATTGCATAATATTCGACGACCTAAAAGTTAAATAGGTAAGTTTGAATTCTTGCGTCAACACAACACGTCAGTAATTAAATATTTGAATTATGAATAAGCCCATTTTGAAATAGCATAAACGACGAAATATATGGAGAAGATTCTAGCCACCGATTTACCACAATCTAAACGCTTTTATTTACTATCATCTAGTACCAAATCTAGTGGAAGTACCACTGAAATAAAAGACAACGATTAACTATCCCACACTGCACTCAAACTGAGGTACATAGATGGAAGTACTCACACGTACGTGTTACAGTTGAAACATACCGAAAACAAGAAAATCTTAACCGAGAAGATCCTAACCACCGAGAATAAAGATTTCAGTTTGATGAAGTACCTAACAACAGTATCAACAATATCGAATTCATTGTTAAAAAGTTTGACGAAGTTAAGTAGGTGTGAAGGTCTGTTAGACCGCTCTCAAGTACGGGTTAACGAATAAAGGAATTTCGACTTTGGAGGAGTTAACGTCAGTACAGAGGAGTAAAGTGTTGTGGTACTTGAATAAGGTACCAGTTGTTGTGAAAGTGTACGAATCTAGAAAAGAGCAAGTGCGATTGAACTTTTGAGGAAGATGAAAACGGAGAAGAAATTGTTAGTTTTGGAGGGTTTGAGAACTTGGCTGGGGATGGTTTGTTCGACGAAATTGTCAAAATGTACGAAGTTTCGCTTCAAGGGTGTCATTTTTTGTCCTTTTCGTCCTTTTTCGTCCTTTTCGTCTTTTTCGTCCATTTTTTTCATTTTCGTCCTTTTTCGTCATTTTCGTCCTTTTCATCCTTTTGGTCCGTTTCGTCCTTTTGGTCCGTTTCGTCCTTTTTTTGTCCTTTTTCTTTCTTTTCGTCCTTATTCGTATTTACTATTTATTCATCCTTTTTTTCCTTTTCGTCTTTTTCGTCCTTTCCATCCTTATTCGTCCTCTTCGTCCTTTCCGTATTTTTCGTTATCTTTGTCCTTTTCGTCCTTTTTTTGTCCTTTTTCTTCTTTTTCGAACTTTTCGTCCTATGCGTCCTTTTCCTAATTTTCGTCCTTTTTCGTCCTTATTTGTTCTTTTTCGTCCTTTTCGTCCTCTTCGTCCTTATCGTCCTTTCTCGTCCTTTTCATCCGTTTCGTCTTTTTTGTCCTTTTCGTCCTTTTTCGTCCATTTCGTCTTTTACGTCCTTTTCGTCCTTTTCGTCCTTCTTGTCCGTTTCGTCCTTTTTTTGTCTTTTTTCCCCCTTTTCGTCCTTTCTTTGTCCTTTTTTTGTCCTTTTTCTTCCTTTTCGTCCTTATTTGTATTTACTATTTATTCATCCTTTTTTTCCTTTTCGTCTTTTTCGTCCTTTCCATCCTTATTCGTCCTCTTCGTCCTTTCCGTCTTTTTCGTCCTCTTTGTCCTTTTCGTCCTTTTTTTGTCCTTTTTCTTCTTTTTCGAACTTTTCGTCCTATGCGTCCTTTTCGTAATTTTCGTCCTTTTTCGTCCTTATTTGTCTTTTTTCGTCCTTATTTGTCCTTTTTCGTCCTTTTCGTCCTCTCCGTCTTTATCGTCCTTTCTCGTCCTTTCCATCCGTTTCGTCTTTTTTGTCCTATTCGTCCTTTTTCGTCCTTTTCGTCCTTTACGTCCTTTTGGTTCTTTTCGTCCTTCTTGTCCGTTTCGTCCTTTTTTTGTCTTTTTTCCCCCTTTTCGTCCTTTTTTTGTCCTTTTTTGTCCTTTTTCTTCCTTTTCGTCCTTATTCGTATTTACTATGTATTCATCCTTTTTTTCCTTTTCGTCTTTTTCGTCCTTTCCATCCTTATTCGTCCTCTTCGTCCTTTCCGTCTTTTTCGTCCTCTTTGTCCTTTTCGTCCCTTTTTTGTCCTTTTTCTTCTTTTTCGAATTTTTCGTCCTATGCGTCCTTTTCGTAATTTTCGTCCTTTTTCGTCCTTTTCGTCCTCTTCGTCCTTATCGTCCTTTCTCGTCCTTTTCATCCGTTTCGTCTTTTTCGTCCTTTTCGTCCTTCTTATCCGTTTCGTCCTTTTTTTGTCTTTTTTCCCCTTTTCGTCCTTTTTTTGTCCTTTTTTTGTTCTTTTTCTTCCTTTTCGTCCTTATTCGTATTTACTATTTATTCATCCTTTTTTTCCTTTTCGTCTTTTTCGTCCTTTCCATCCTTATTCGTCCTCTTCGTCCTTTCCGTCTTTTTCGTCCTCTTTGTCCTTTTCGTCCTTTCTTTGTCCTTTTTCTTCTTTTTCGAATTTTTCGCTCTATGCGTCCTTTTCGTAATTTTCGTCCTTTTTCGTCCTTATTTGTCCTTTTTCGTCCTTTTCGTCCTCTTCGTCCTTATCGTCCTTTCTCGTCCTTTTCATCCGTTTCGTCTTTTTCGTCCTTTTCGTCCTTTTTCGTTCTTTTCGTCCTTTACGTCCTTTTCGTCCTTTTCGTCCTTCTTGTCCGTTTCGTCCTTTTTTTTGTCCTTTTTCTTCCTTTTCGTCCTTTTTCGTCCTCTTCGTCCTTTCCGTCCTTTTTCGTCCTTTTCGTCCCTTTTTAGTCATTTTTCTTCCTTTTCGTCTTTTTCGTCCTTTTTCGTCCTTTTCGTCCTTTTCGTCCGTTTCGTCATCTCAAAATTTTGCCTAATTAATTATCTCTGAAATATGCAAAATATTATTACTATTATTATTAATATGTGTGGTTTATCATTAACATCACAGTTTTTAGAATTACTTATTCAAGGTGGCTCAAAAAAAACTGAATGAGGCAGTTTAATTTATTAATTAATTCAAGAACGACTCACTAAATTTGCGAATATGATACTGTAATTATTAGTATTACCTTGCATCTATCCAAATTAATAAATGTCTTTGGGAAAACGTGGATGACATAAAAATTTTGTAATGGGAAAACTCACGCGACACAAATTTTTTATTTTAAATCTTACGATTTTTAGAAAAGTTCGGATTTATTTACTTTGGACCAATTTTTTGACAGAAATTTTTTTCAATTTTTCAATTTCTTGACTTCCAAATTTTTCAATATTTACTTTCTTTAATTTTTCTATTTGCAATTTTTTTATGTTTATTTTCTCCTCTCGATTTTATATTACAATATTTTGTTTTTTAATTTCTTTTACTTTTCAATGTTTCTTACGATTTTATAATTTTTCGTTTATTCAATTTTTCAAATATTCTCAAATTTCTGAATTTGGATGTTAGGATGTTGTAGTGGTTATAAGATACAACTGGTTATAAGATATAACTGGTACCACAGCACTTTTTCTTATCGGTGCAGCTTCTGTGGGAACACAACTTGCAGTCCCCACAATAAAATCCGGCCTCGACTCACGACGAATACAAAAAAATCATCACAATTGAGATAGGGCGGGTGGGCGGGGCTTATATATTGTTTTTTTTTTCAATGTACGTAGCCCTCTTTTCACAACAAGAAACTTAAAATATGTTTGCTTATTTGTTGAAAGAAGACTACGTATATTACAAAAAGAAAACAATGGATATGCCCCACCCACCCACCCTTCCTCAATTGTGTACTCACATACGGAGTAAAGTCCAAATTTTTGCGGAAGAAATACAAAGTTTAACACGTTTGAAGTATTTAATACCGTATTGTTTTGAGAAAAAATAGGGAATGAAGAAGAGAAAAAAACTTTAGAAAAATAAAACTTTACCTCTCTGCGTAAACCGGTGGGGCTTAATCATGTGCGTCTTTTCTTCATATTATATATAGGTTTTTTTTTTCTACAATACCATACTTAAAACATAGTAATTTCTTCGTCACAATTGAGATGGGGATGGAGGGCTTATAATAAACCTTTGTATTTTCCTTAATATACGTACAGACATCTTTTCGCAACAAGAAATTTAAAATATGTATAAAATAGTAAATTTTTTACAGAAATATGGATTTCCAACTGACAACAAATTCAAAATTCATCACAATAAAGATAAGGGTGGGTGGGCAGGGCTTAAATATTGGCTTCATTTTCTTAATCTATAGAGTTTTCTTTCAATAACACGACGCTTAAAACATAATTCTAACTTCAAATTCACCATTCGATATTTTAAGTAATTAAGCGTTTAAAGAAAACTGCGCACATTACAAAAAGAAAGTGAATGGATAAGCAGCACCCACCCACCCCCTCTGAATTGTGATACGTTTTTTTATTCGTCGTGAGGCGGAGCTTAATTCCAAAGTTTATATTTCTCTACAAAAAAATTCCACCTTAACAGGTTTTAAGTATCGTGTTGTTGAAAGAAAGTTATATTAAAAAAGAAAGCAAAAATTGTGCCCCACCCACCCTCCCGTATCTCAGTTGTGATTGATTTTTTATTCGTTGTGAGACCGGGGGGCGGAGTTTAACTGTAAAGTCCAAACTTCTGTATAAAAAATATGAAGTTTAACACGTTTGAACTTCCAAGTATTTATTATCCCCTAAACACACTATATTTTTGGAATGAGCACGTCAAAATGTAAAACTCTGGATTTTTTGAGAATTTTTAGACGACTTCTGTATACCCCCTTATGCAAATTTCGACCCATTTTCGACTATTTTCGAAACTTAAGTAAAGTGCGGTCACCGTTAAATTGTCGCCTGCAATTAAATGTAAAAGTCTACCTTTAAACAGTACTTTTGGATATGCTCTCTCTTCTCTTAGAGTGTATCTCATTTGCCAAAATCACTATTATCTTAGCAGGTACTAGCCCCGCCCACCCACCCATTCTTTTCTTGGAATGTATGTCATTTGCCAAAATCAGTTTTATCTGAGCAGATACTCAATAAATTCCTCTTTCTCTTTTTACAATTTTTCCGTTTCACATTTTTTGATTTTTCGGTTTTATATTTTTATAATTTTCGGTTCTTATTAATCTATTTATCAATTTTCAATTTTATAATTTTTCGTTTTTTAAATTCCTCATTTTTTTAATTACTATTCAATTTTTGATTTTTCAATTATTCGAATTTCATTGTTTCGAATTTCATTGTTTGGATTTTTCAATGTTTTGATTTTTAATATTTAAAAATTTCGATTTCAAATTTTTCAAGTTTTTGATTTTTCAATTTCATAATTTCGCGATTTTTCGAGTTTAAGTTTTTTTTGTGTTACGATTTTACAATTAGCCATTTATAATTTTGCAATTTTTTTAGTTTTCCTTTGAACATTTTTAAATTTTTCCACTTTTGAGATTTAGACTTTAATAATTTTTCGATTTTACTTTTAACCTATTTTTCAAATTTTTATTTTTCATGTTTCAATTTTATATTTCTTCGTTTTTAAAAATTTTCGTTTTTTGAATTGTTAAATTTTGGATTTTTTATTTTTAAAAATTTCGATTTTAAATTTTTCAAAATTTTTCTTTTTTATTTTTTTAATTTATACTCGTAGTTTTGCAGTTTTTCTATTTTTCGATTTTGTAATTTTTCTATTTAACAATCAGCTATCTGATTTTTCAATGTTTGTTTATAAAATTATTCAATTTTCAATTTTATATTTAAGTTCTTGATTTTTCAGTTTTATATTGTTACATTTTTTCGATTTCTCAATTATTTTGTTTTTAATGAAGTAATTTATGGTTTTTCAAGTATTAGATTTTTCAATTTTGCGACTTAATTTTTTAATAATTCGGTATTTCAGTTATAGAATTTTTCCATCTCAAAATTTTTAGATTATCCGAGTTTCCAAATTTCTCGATTTTCAAATTCTCTGTTAAAGACAAACACAAAAAAATTATGGGATGTTAAAGCGCATTTATAAGCTGGAATTTGGTACCTTACATTGTTACTGGTATGTATTATTTTTGTTTCAATTTATCGAGGTTGTCATAATAAAACTTCTCAAAAACAAATTTTATCATTTTTCAAAGAAGCCGAATTTGTTTTGTCGAAACAACCAATTTTTTCACGACACAAGGAAGCGGAGGACGGAACTTTTAAGATATTTTTAGGTCCACAGGTTATGGTGACGAACTAACCTGGGCAGCCGTTTGGTTATACAAAGCCACAAGAAACGTCAGATACGTGGAACAAGCAGAAAACTTCTACACGAAGTTCCGAATCAAAGACCGCCCCAACGAATTTTTCTACAACAAGAAAGTGGCCGGAATTCAAGTACTTAATCGACTTAAGTACCTCAAACCGACTTAACCACTACACTTTTAGCTCCTCCTTGCCGAGCAAACCCAACGCCCCGAGTACAAAGCGGCCACGAAGAGCTTCTGCGACTACTCCATCAAGGAGCAACTGCGGACTCCTCACGGCCTAATTTTCATAGACAAGTCCGGAACTCTCTCGCACGCTGCCAATGTCGCCTTCATTTGTTTACAGGTACCACCCACACTCCAGTACCACCCTCACTCCATGCTAACTATTTGCAGGCTGCCATTGGTCTCAACATTTCTCAAAGTACCTACATCAACTTCGCCAAAGAACAAATCGACTACATTCTGGGCTCAAAGGGGCGAAGTTACCTCGTGGGGTACGGGTTGAACTATCCCAAGCAGCCCCACCACTCCGCAAGGTAGTGGTACTTTAGTAGTTTCTGGATCTAGCGGTGTTGTTGTAGTTCCTGTCCTGATTTGCCAGAACCATGTGGGTGGAAGCAGTTCACGTGGAAAGGTCCGAATCCCCAGATTCTCTACGGGGCTTTGGTTAGTGGACCAGACCAGAACGACCATTACGAAGATATCAGAGACGAGTTTCTTTATAACGAGGTGACGTTGGATTATAACGCAGGGTTTCAGAGTACCGTTGCTGGACTTATTTATTGTGACAAGGTGATGAAACGTGAGTGATGTTCTTAAATGTGATATTGAGACGTTTGTTTGTAGTAAAGTTCGAAATTTTCACTAGAGTTTTATTTCGTCAAGTATTAACATATTGTTAAAGTTAACCCCTTTTGTCTTCGGTTTCGACTAACCTGGAACACTTATTTAGATTAACAAAATGACACTCATTTGTTGCTAGCATACTCTGACACCGTGAGACTTCTAAGATCTTCAAGCGGTATACAAATTCCATAACCTCGCTCCAAAATTTGGGCAAACTGAACCCCAACTATCGAATCCATTCCAAGGTCTGCCAAAGTCGATTCCTTGTTAAGAATTCTCGCATCCTTAACCCCTAGTAAATGAGCAAGTTGGTCAAGCACGCTGTGTGAATTTCCGTTGACGATGTTTTTTTCCGCAATCACTACACTAGAGACAACAGCGTCTGCTCGCTCCAAAAAACGTTCCAAAACCTTGAAACATGACCCTAATTTCTGGGCTACGAAACCTTGAAGAGGAATTTTTTTTTGACCCACTGCTTTGGCATAAGCCCCAACCTAAAGCAAGTAGTATTAATTTCCAATTAAACCCTTTTCGGAGTTTACATCGTCTATGGGACCCCACTGTATCGCCAAACCTGGTAGACCATCATTTCGTCTTTTTTCACAAAGTCGTTCCATGACGGAGTTGGCCATTCCATAGTTGCTTTGGCCAGGGTTGCCACGTCCACACGACATAGACGAAAACATAACGAAGTACCTTTAACACCAAGTGACAAATCTGTATCTAGAATTAAGTACCTGAGGTTTTTGCAACACTGTCGTGTCACTTGGTCCAACGCAACAGCAATATTAGCCTTAGACGATAACGACTCCTTAAATTTTTCTTCAGTCTGATCTTCAAAGAAGGCGTCTTTCAGTACCACACACAGATTAAAAACGCCATCCACTGGTCCTAACTCACTTATTGCTTTTTGGATTAGTTCCAGACAACCCTTCTTGGTGGTGGTGTCTACAGTAGACACTGTTACAGCGACACCAGAAGACCTCCACAGCCTGAAAAGTTCTTGCTATTATGGTACCCGCAATGTGTAAATCGTACCCAATTTTGCGTTTTTGGTAGCCACTTTGTAGTCCCACTCGAGACACCAGTACCACCTTTCTGGCACCATTAGCCACCAACCACTGGGTCAGTTCTAACCCAAACCCCCCCAAACCTCCAACGATGACATAAGATTTGTCTTCGTCGCACGCAAAGTCACGTGACCCATCTTGACTTAAAGGTAAGTGCCTATAAGTACCCCACTGGCCATTTTTGAAAACGTTAACGGCAAAGTTCTTTCTTAGTTGGTCTTGATAGAAAACACTGCCTGAATCAAACTCCGGTACTTCGTCCATCGTGACAAAACACCTGAGTTTGGTACCACCACGCTCCAGTCTGACACAAGTCGTCAACCCTAAAACACCCTCAGGTTCTACGTTGCTGGAAACAACCACCACATTTTCGGTTTTCAGAGCACGTTGTAGGGTAGGCAACCAGTTTAACTGTTTCCAGGAAAGTCGTACGTGTTTGACATTATCAACCGATTTTGACTTTTGTAACAATAGTAGTTTTTCGTGGGGAGTGCAATGTTCCGTGAGAAGTTCTAAATTGGCGACTTCCTTATACCGAAAAGAGGGTTTTTCGCGAGTCAAGATAAAACCGTCTTGACTAACAAGGGCCAAAATTTGGTCCAAAAGCGCTGGTTTTTGCAGCACCTTGGTACCAACAACCAAAAGAAAATTTTTTGACTTGTCGATAATTTCTGGATATTTGGTTGCGCAAATCGTAAAGTCGCAAGTGACTGTAGGCATTCGTTGTACTATTCGGTGTACCAGAGGAAGAAGAGGGTCACTGTTGTTGTCGACAATTTCTACCGCCTTGATACAACTTGTTAAACTTTTCTCAACTATAATCTGTGTGTTGACTATTAAAGACTCCTCCAGATCAAGCGTAACCACGTTTGGAACAAAAACATATTTTTCTAAAACCGGTGATTGTTGACATTGTCTTTGACGAAGTTTCGTACTAACGTCAAAAATTTCAATCCCTCCACACCTACAAGCAAGTAACTAAAAGTACGTAGTGGAATTTACTCACCCACTTTATGGTTCTATTCTTCTTGTGAAAGCAAAAATGTGACGATTTCGTCTGATTGACGATCCTCAAGTGACTATTAACATCTATTGTCAAACGTCTGATACCAACAGGTAGATGAAGCAAGTGGGTACTATCTTGCAGCTGCACCGTTTGTATCATGCTATCTATGAAAGTAGTCCAATTGTTTTCCCAGCGGAGTGACCCCTCACTTACTTCAAGGTCACACTTTTCAACCCCTTGAAACAAACCACTGAGACAACTCTAGTACTTGTCTTTTTTGACCCACCTGTAGTTGTACCCTTTCAGATTTAAAGTCTTGTAGACTTCGTTTTGTGTCAAAGTTTCACTTGATTTTTGCCCAAACCAAGGAACGCTCATTTGGTACTTCTTGATGTCGTCGGGTACGAACACTCTTCCACAAGCTACAACTTTGTTGTCTTTGCAGACCTCAAACTTTCCACTTTTGGGTAAAATGGATACGAAAATGTCAACATTGTCGAGAGGTACGACTTCTACGAATTCGCAATTTTCGAAGACGATTGCTGGTACTAAACGTGATTTGAATGTCTGCCAGACCAAGTTTAAAATTTCGCTTGGTGGAATAGTACCAAGTCCGTCGATTTGGTGACCAGTTAGGTATTCATGGTCCGTTATCTTGTAACTTTTTTGCAATGGAGTGTCTGTGTCTTCTGAGAATTTGTAAGAGTACCAGTTTTTGTCACAATTCCATTTAATCAAATGGGAAAGCATGGGTGTGTTTCGATTTACCGGGAATTGTGCATTTGGGTAGAGTTTGTGGATTTGTAAATCGTGACCTTCTTGGTATAGTCTGAATAAATGAATATTTTACTTTCTCTGGGTCAACGACAATATAAAACGTACCTTCCTAGTATATGAAAGAAATTAGTTGTTAGAACCATGTCGTCGTTGTTGATTCGTAGAGGTTTGTCTGAAAGATTAAGCACAATGGAATGCTTCGAAATGTCCACAGAGTGATTATTATTTTTATTGGGTTTGCCTAAAAGAAAACTCTGGTCAAATTTTTTTCCTTAATTACAAGTCGTACTTTTGATTGCCATTTCGACTGCCTCCTCCAAGCTAATTTTGCCTTTACAATAAAGAACTAACACCTGATGGAATGAATCTTCTGCCACTGGTGTTAGCTCAACCTTCAACACTCTCAGCACCTTTGCTATACCCAGTTGTACCGCAAACCCCCCAAGCAAGGTATCGTTTTCGTCGAAGTTGGCTTTTAGCTGAACAAACCTCTTCAAAACCCTACAAACAAAAATTTGGTTGAAATTGTCACGGTCTGGATTTCAGTACCTGACAACAGTGTCTCGAAAAAGGGACACTTTTATTGACTGTTGTTTCAAAGACAAGAAACCACTTTCAAGAGGTCCAAAAAACACAAATAGTTTCTTTGGGTGTTGACGGTACAACTCCACAGATATCTCGGCTTGTTGACCGTCTTCCAAAATCGTGAATCCTCTATACATGTGCCCATTGACATTGTCTTTGAAGATGTGGTGCAGCAAATTTACAAAGTCTGCATTTGGTTGTCGATTTATTTGGTGAAGTGTTTCAACAACTGCTTGTTTATTTCTTCCACTAACCAAAACTAGTTTGGGAAAGTCATTTGGTGTCGACTCGTTGTCAACTTTCTTGCTTGCAGGTTCTACGATCAAGTGGGCAATATTTGCTCCCCAGCCAAAGCAGTTGATTCCAATGTAGGTATTATTTGGTAGTTCTTCTGCTTGGGTGACCACCCTCATCCTATTTTCCTCGAATCCTTTGATCCCTTTTCTTAATTGGTCAATATTTATGGTTGGTGGAATTAGCCCAGATTCCATTGCGATGATAGCTTTAACTAGAGCACAAAGTCCTGCTGCCGCCTCAGTGTGACCTATACTGTTTTTAGTAGCCCCAATAGGAAGAGGTTTTTGTCGTTTTTGGGCAATAGCCACATCTATGGACTCAGCTTCCTGTGGATCACCCAAAATGGTACCGGTTCCGTGGGTTTCGAGGTAACCAATCTGGGATGGGTGGATTCCCGATTCTGATAAAGTAGCTTCAATTAACTCGGTTTGTGTTTTGGATGATGGTGCAAGTAAGCCTCCGACTTTGTAGCCCTCACTCCCTGTTCGAATATGGGTGATCTAGAACAATCAAGGAAATTGAATATTTATTGTTGAAATGTCCCCATGGTGAGTTAGTTACCTTTGCATAAATTCTTTTGGCGTGTTTTGCTTTTTGAAGGAACACACAAGCGATGGCATCAGATCGGGCGTAACCGCTGGCGCTTTCGTCGAAAACTTTACATTCACCATCGGGACTTAGAACTCCTAGTCTAAAAACAAGAGTGGATTCAAAATTTTTGGTTTTGTTGTTGAAATTAATTCTGTTAACCTCAAGATTTCGTGGTATTTTGAATAATTGTTCTGATTCACGCAACAAAAAAATTTGGTATTCAAAGTTGTCAGTCCCAAGAGAAAGTAATTAAATTTCGAAAAATTAGAAAGGATGTGATATGTATGACAAAATTGAAATACGAAAGAAAAATAGCATAAACTAATGGAACATGGAACGATGAAGAACAAGTACGCATTTTTACGGTAGATCCAGATTTAAAAAAAAAAACAAAGTTGTATGATAACATTTTATAATTTCACTTTAAAATTGCCAAATCCAGTACTTTGAAATCTTGCAAACGTTTAAGCTTTGCCGACAGCATGACTTCACATTTTTCAATTTTTGGCGTTTCTAAATTTTCAATTTTTGGATTTTTCATTCTCGAGTAATTGATTTTTAATTTTCCCATTTCTCGATTTTTAGAATTTTCAATGTTTCGATGTTACACTTTTTCAATTCTGAAGTTCCTCGATTTTCAGGTTTCTGATTTTTCAGGTTTTACGGTTTTCGACTTCGATATTTCGACTT